TTATGTCTAGGCAGGTGGGCTGGGCGTACTTTGTTGCTTGCTCATCTGTGGGCACGATACTTCTCACCACCTTGTTCAGGTGGGCAGGGCCAGTTGCTCAGCTATGGTGCAGCAGGGCAGGTCCAGCAGAGGGGGTGGGGTAGGGGTGGATGATTTGTGGCAAGTACTGAGGCCGACAGGGCAGGGCCAGGGGGGCAGTGCAGGATGGGGTCTGGTGGTCTGTGCCTGTGCCGCTTGGGGGCGCGGCACTCAACGTGTGGTGCAGCAGATACACAGGAGGGAAGGGAGAAGATTTGATGTGTGAAGCTAAGTGGGTGAGAGAACGAAGAGAGAGAAACGGAGGCAAAAAAATAAATAAATACAGAGCAGAACAGCACAGCCCGTCAGGAAGGGGTAGGGCAGGGTGGTGGGGCAGCATAGGTGGGTGGGAGGAAGGAAAGGAGAGAGAGTGAGAAGAAACAGCCACAACAAAAAAAAAAAAAGGACAAACACAAATGAAAAAAGAAATGTGCTGAAGGAGACTTCCAGTGGGAGCAGGCATTGTGGACCCAGGGAGGCTGCTTGCTGGTGGCTGTCTAGCCGATTGGTGTGGCAAGCCTGTCAAGAAGGAGTGGGATGGCACACATGGCTAGGTGGGCTGGAGAGAGGAAAGGAAGGAAGGGAGAGAAAAGAAACTCGAGAAAAAATGGAAGTGAAGGAGCCTGCCAGTGGGGTGTCGTGGACCTGGGGAAGCCATGTGTTGATGGCTCTCTAGCCAAGCATGTGGCATAGCCCATCAAGAAGGGGCGGGGCTGGCACACAGGGCTTAGTGGATGGAAGAAAAGACGAAAGAAGGGAGAGAGAGATAAGAAACCAAAGAAAAAATAAAATGAAAAGTAAAAAATGGCGCTGAGGGAGCCTGACAGTGGGGTGGTGCAGACCCCGGGGAAGCTGTGTGCCAGTGGCTCTCTAGCTGAGCAGTGTGATACAGCCTGTCAAGAGGGGGCAGAGTCAACACACATGGCTAGGTGGGCAGGAGAAAGGAGAGGAAGGAAGGGAGAGACAGATAAGAAACCAAAAAAAGACAAAAATGGTGCTGAGGGAGCCTGCTGGTGGAGTGGTGTGGATACAGGGAAGCCGTGTGTTGGTGGTGGCACAACCCATCAAGAGGGGCCAGAGACAGCACACGGTGCTAGCTAGGCAGGAGAAAGGAAAGGAAGGAAGTGAGAGAGAGAGAGGAAACAAAAAAAGCCAAAACAACAACACAAAAATGGCACTGAAGGAGCCGCCAGTAGAGACGGTGAATCTGAGTGGCAAGGAGCTGCTATCTTTCTGGCCGAGCAACTGTGGCCCATTGGAAAGTGGAGTAGGCCACGTATAGGGCAGAAGGGGTGGGGGTGGGGGTGGGAAAGCATGTATCGCTTGGTACCATGTGCTCTGTCTCCTGTTGGGAGCTCCGTGAAGTTGCCTTCCCATACTCCCTGTCTGCTGTTCTTGGTGGCTGAGGTCCAAGACAGTGAGTCCATGCTGCGTTGGCTTGTAGGGGACCTCTACTCCTTAGCTCTTCTCTGTCCGTTTCTTATGCCATTCGGTGCTTGGTTGTGTTATTTATCCCCTCATTTGACACTAAGAGTTCCAGGATTGACATTTGTATCTGTTTTACTTAGTTTTTTTGATCTTTGCTATAGAGGGACGGTGTGGTGCTTCTGTCTATAGCACCATGTTGGCTCTGCCTCTTAGGAATAAATATAAAGTAAGGAGGTATGTGTGTTTAGATTACATCAGTCTATAAACATTGTAGCTTAGGAGCCAGGCATGTCAAAAACCATTAATTATATAACCATGTTGCAACATTCCTTGCCCAAGTAACTTTACTTGGTTATACAGTTTGGTTTCTTTCTTTCTTTTTTTTTTTTGCTTGCTTGGTTTTTGTTTTGTTATGACTCTAAAGGTTATTTGTTTTAATTTTCTTAGCCTTTTCTCTAACATTTTGCAGGTTGCTCTGTCCCAAATAATACCCTGGTGTGTCTTGGCAGATACAGTCAGTTCTCCTTATTTGTGGTAGTTTTGTTCTGTAAAACCCTTGTGAACGCTAAATTGGTGAATACTGAACGAGCCTTGTTCAACCTTAGCCTGGAATTTCTTGCCACAACCTGCAGGAGTATGTTTGCAAAGGACCTCAGAAGCACAAGGAGTCTTTTTAGCAAATCAGCAAATGCTGAATCTGCGAATGAGGATAGGCTGTATTTGACCTTCATGGCAATTTTTACATCTTTAACTTCTAAGTTAAATTTTTCAGCCCCTTCCCCCTCATTTTTTTGGCCAGCTCTTAACACTAGAACAGTTATTTGCCCAAGAAAATTTTGTTAATATTGTTTTTACAACAATATTTTAAGTAACAATATTTAATAAAGTTTAGTATTTTGAAACCCCCACCTACCCAGCCTCCACACCACCCACCCTCCACACCACCCTCGGGTAGAGGATGTTGGCAGCAGCAGGGAAGTTCTCTGGAGAAGTTTGCCACTGGGAGTCTTCAGCAGCAAAGCACCCACAAGCTGGAGACTGGACACACACCACAGATAAAGAGGAGCTGTTGGGGCAGAGGGTGACTGTACACTGGCTAAAGTCTTGCTGCCTTATGATAGTAGTAGTAGAAGTAGAAGTACAGACAGAATGCTCCTTAGAAGCAAGGATGGTGAGACTTGGTCTCACATATTTTGGACATGTTATCAGGAGGGATCAGTCCCTGGAGAAGGACATCATGCTTGGTACAGTAGAGGGTCAGTGAAAAAGAGGAAGACCCTCAATGAGCTGGATTGACACAGTGACTGCAACGATGGGCTCAAACATAGTAATGATTGTGAGGATGGCACAGTACTGGGCAGTGTTTCATTCTGTTGTACACAGGGTCACTATGAGTCGGAACCAACACGATGGCAACAACAATTAATTCATCTTGCTGGCTCTAAAAGTATGTGATTCTTGACTAGTTTTTTTAAGATTTGGTGTAATTCTCACAATTTGAAATTTTGTACATAGGTTTATATTAATATTTTCATAAGCTATTGTATTTTTCATAAAATTGCTTGGGGGAGAGTTAAATATATCATACATAGCATAGTCTCAAGTTCCATACCCTCTGTAGTAAGTGCTCATTAAACTTTTACCTTTCCATCTTGTAAGCATTACTTTCCTCTGCAGGGTAGCCTCAATCCAGGTAGTGTCCTGACTCCTGGTTTTTCATTGTAGAAATACACCGAAAGCTAGTTCTTCTCATATCTGGTCCTGTTTCCACCTTTAGCTGACTTGAGCTGCACTTTAAAGTTTAGTTTTCAGTTGGATGTCTTCAGCCAGTTAGTAAATCAGTTTCTCTCTTGTCTGTTGTCCTTTCTCTTTTTTTTCCCCCGATTTCTTGCTGTAGCTCTGAAAATACTGATTCATTTTTTCCTTTCTGAGTCTTAAGTGCTTTCGGTCTTCTCTTTCCTTCATGTTTACGACTGTTGATAGGATCGAGTCCACTGTTGCGGCAGTTGTGTCGGTCCATCTCATTAAGGGTTTCCCACGTTTTCACGGACCCTCTGCTTTACCAAACTGGATGTCCTTTTCTAGCAATTTCCTTCAATTACTATTGTACTTACAGACACACAGTTAGGGAGTAGCTTTCTTCCCCCCATCCCATTGACACCAGCTCTGTGCTGCTTCATGAAATGTTTTGTATATCTAAAAATGAGTATTATACACAATTTAACTTTAACCCTGTTGTTTTTCTCCTCATCTCTTACGTTTTTGCTCTAAATCAAGGATTCACAAACTGTTTCTCTAAAGAACTGGAAAATAAATATTTTAGCTTTGTGGGCCATAGGATCTCTGTTGCGGCTATGCACATCTGCTGTTGTTGTGCAGAAGCAGCCATACACAATAGGTGACTGAATGAACTTGGCTGTGTTCTAATAAAACTTTATTTGCGGACAGTAAAATTTAAATTTCGTATGTTTTCATATGTCATGTCTTTTTTTTTATTTTACCCCCAACTGATTAAAAATGTAAAAACGGTCGCTAGTTCACAGGCCATGTAAAAACAGGTAGTGAGTTAGATTTGGCTCAGGGGTTGTAGTTTTTCAGCCTCTTTACTAAGTCCACCTCTCTTAGTATGTTCCTGTCGCTTAGCCCAGTTGCCTGCTGCCATTACTTTAGTCTGTGTTGCTAATTATAGAGCGCCTTTGCACCTTGTGGCAGGGGAAATGAAAGAATCTTTAATCATATCAGAGCTAAAATCAGAGTAAGTATTAAATGCCAGCCAGCTTTTGGGCCTCTGAGATTTTAAATTCAGTGATGTAGATTTTAAGAGGTATTTGACAAGAATCACTTAGGAAAAAAAATATGTGCAAACCATAAGCAATATTCCATGTATCAGTTGAGTAGATGATAATGTGAATGATATTTATTCAGTGTAACATTTGTCTAGCTCTTGTAATTTATATTTTCTACACACATCATCTCACTTGATTTGCACAACACCCCTGTGTGCTACGCATACGGTGGTATATTATCCCTATTTTTAGATGAGGAAATAGCATGAGAGATAAAGTGACTTGTTTAGGATTTACGAATTAGAGAGTGATTTACTCATGAAGGCTTCTTGTCCATTGAACACTCATAGAATGTAAGAAGTAAAAGGAATTATATCATCAAGTTTAATTTTATCATTTTACAAATGAGAAACCAAGACCAGTGCTAGTAATGGACAGAGCGAGCCGTCAGGCACCCTCCTCTCTGTATTACTGGGCCAGTGTTCTTCCCATTAGGCTGTGTCTTGCAAAGAGACAACTAAACTGAAATTTATTAATATTTATTAATATAATATAAGTACCTTAGTTTCTTAAAAAGTTTAAAATAAAATATTTATAACTTTCTATTAGCATACTTAAGAATGTTGTCCAGCCATGATTCAAAACTAAACCGCCTAGATTTCAGCGCATGTGGAATGAACGCAAACCCTGCCTTGTTTGCCTTTCTAGCACCAGCGTTGGATGTTGACTGGCAGAGCAACAACACCTTTGCTTCCTGTAGTACAGATATGTGCATTCATGTCTGTAAATTAGGACAAGACAGACCTATTAAAACATTCCAGGGACACACGGTAAGAAACCTTTTTTTTTTTTTTCTCCTGTATTTAAAGTGATTATGATGAACAGGTTAATAGTTTCAGAGTGAATTTGAAGTATGTATGTATAATATCCAAAGGGCAACCCAGTCTGTAAAGTGAAAATGTGAATATTTGCTGTTATTTTTAGAATGAAGTAAATGCTATCAAATGGGACCCAACTGGCAATCTCCTGGCTTCGTGTTCTGATGACATGACTTTGAAGGTAATTCTGTTATTGTGGGAGAAATGGAATGGAGGTTTGCACAGTGTCACTGCTCTGGTCATTTTAAGCCCTTTTAGAATCTCTCTTATACGTAGTTATTTGAAGTTTTAAACTTGGATATGAGGACTTGTTTGACTTTTTAATGATTAGTCATCATTTTTTGTATTTTAGGTTTTCTGATATATATCATACAAAATAATTGACTATAAGAAATAAATACTGTTAAGATGATGGCTGTACAGTAGGAATTATAACACTAAAGAAGTGTTATACATTATCTTCATTATTAGGAAATCATATATTGGTGTAATTAAATCTAAGTTTATTTGCACATGTAGAGATTTAATAAGTATAGAAGACCTTGTAGCATTCATGGATTTGATGGAAATTCCATGAATTAGTATTAATTGGATTTCTCTGTGGTATGAGCACATATCACCCTTGCTGGGAATCTGATATAGAAATGAATCTCTTAGTTAGTGAGTCTAGTTGAAGTGCCAACAACCACATCTCAACATGGATTTGTTTTTTCTGGTTGCACGAGTAAAAGCAAAACTGACATCTTGCCCTGCCTAAGCATCTCATATACTACAGTTAGAGTAAAAAAGCATTTTGTGTTTTGAGATAAAGAACAACCTAATACTAATTAACAAAGTAAATGAAGCCTTGAGCCCCTTCCTGGAACCTGCTAACTCCCTAAGGAAAACACTTTTATCCTTGACTTTGTAACACCAGTGAGTACAGACATAATGACTCTTATAGATATGATAATCATGTGGGAAAACTACTCCCCCCCCGTCGTGAACAGACTAGCCTTGGTAACCTGGTGATTTTTTTTCCTTTAAATAACTACTGCGGTTTTTTTTATAGACAGTTCTTCTCAAGTCTGGACTCCCTTGCAAACATTGCTAGTAAAAATGCTTTTTTAATGGCTTTATCTCTGACTTTTTCTTGAACGCACATGTGTTAACTGGAAAAGAGGAAATGAAACAAGGCCAGTGGCTAGAGATCTTAGTCTCATGGACTGAGTTGCAGCTGGAGATTGGTTAGGACTAGAAATTGTTAGAGAGCTGTTTTTCATCCTAAAAGTAATAAAAGGTCATGTAGAGTTTTAAAGCAGAAACTAGATGGATGGGTAATTTGTAGTGGAGCCATTTTCTGAGAACAGGGAACACCAAATTGAGTGAGATAGATCATGTATTTGGTTTTAGACATGTTGAGCTTGAGGTGCCATTTAGCCATGCAAATGGTGAAGGTAGGTGGGTCTGATTCTCAGAGGAGAGCTCTAAGTTTGAGATAAAAATTGAGTAAGTCTCAGCAACTGGATAGACATGGGTATGACTGAATCTGTGTAGAAGCGTAGAGTGAAAAGAGGGAACCCCTCCCCCCCCAAAAAAAGTCTTAAAACAATTGCTAGATCAGGAGGAATGAGCTTCCAAAAGGAATGACCAAAGTGTAAGTGTGTGTAGAGAGATTTCAAGGGAGACGAGGGATGGGAGTGCCCTAAAGTATCTAATGCTATTGAAAGGTCAAATGAAGTGTGTCATTTGGATTTAATTACATGAGGTTATAAATACAAAGAGTACTAAAACACTATGATATTGCTTTATTATCTTGTATCAGTTAAGTTACAGAGTATGAAATCCAGCTAATTTTTGTTTGTCGCTATCTGATTTTGATGTTTGTATTTGCCAAGATGTTGCAAAGTTCTGTCTCGCGCCCCCTCCCCTCGTCATGTCTTTATTGAATGATTTTGCCAGAAGTACTCTTAGTGTAGGCTTCATTTAATTATTGCTTTAAGAGAATAGATATTTTTAAATCTATATGTAGAAGTATGTTTTCAACTCAGGAAAGATTTATTCTCTGCTCACCATTTTAACTTTAATTATTGTTTGTTACTTCTCATTACTTCTTCTGTATAAAACAGTAGTATTAAGAAGTTGCTTATTTATTTTCTCCTCTCCATTGTAAAATCTTCCCTGATCCGAAGGAATTTATAATGTAGATCTTTAAGGGATGACATAAAAACTAATGCTTTCAGCATTTTAGAATCGATAATCATGGAACTTCTGGAATGCTGAATTCTGTAACATATGAAGCTACAAAATTAATCTTAGGGGAAAGAAAGTAATCTTAGAACAGCTATAGTTAATTCAGCCCTCAGGTTTCACAACACTGAATATTTTGGAAGAGCTTAAAGCTAATTATAATTTTTTTTAGAAAAATAAATACAGTCTACTGCATTCTAATTTCTTTGCAAATATTTCTTTGACTTCTGTAATCATTATTCTGGTTATACTGCTTGTTTTTTAAATGTAGCCATTGTGTGGAATAATAATACACTTTTTTTGTTACTTGTTTAGATATGGAGTATGAAACAAGATAATTGTGTCCATGATTTGCAAGCACATAATAAAGAAATTTATACTATCAAATGGAGTCCAACAGGACCAGGGACAAATAATCCAAATGCCAACCTTATGTTAGCAAGGTAATATTTTTGTTTTACCAGTCTTTTTATAGGATTTCTAAAAATAAAACTTCTAGTAAATATAGGAGGAAACTAGGGAAGTTTCCATGAAATGGGAATGTATTCTGCAACTTTTAAAGTACAGGGTTTTATTATTAGTATTTCAGGTCCTAAAGGTTTTTATGTCCCATGATACCAAATATTGATTGATGATATTAAACAGTAATTAAGACCCAAATAATTGAGGTATAGTACAATAAAGTTTCTTCAGCATTTTTCAAAAAAGATAAATTAAAAAATGAGGTCAATTAGTGTTCAAAATTGTGGATCAATAAAAGGGCTTATTTAAAAAGAAAAGAATCACAGTGAATGAGCTCACTTATGTGCAGTTCAGGACCTTTGAGACGCCTTTCAGCGGCCTCCTCTCCTGGTTGGCTCCCACTGCCCAGAAGACTTTCTCCCTGACTGTCCATGTTACCTCTCATAAGGAATTTGGGGCTAGCCATTAGGAGTCAGGGGTGGGGTGGGGGCCGTGAGAATATTTCATTACTTATGAAGTAATTTTTCTCCCCTTGCAGTGCATCCTTCGATTCTACTGTTAGGTTATGGGATGTAGACCGAGGGATTTGCATTCACACTTTGACAAAACACCAAGAGCCTGTATACAGTGTAGCTTTCAGTCCTGACGGCAGGTATCTGGCAAGTGGTTCTTTTGACAAATGTGTGCACATCTGGAACACACAGGTATGTCTGTGTTGTTTAAATGGTCAACTATTATATTTAGTAGGAAACATTTGCCTGTTTTCTTTTTGGTTTCCCATTCCTCTTGTGCCAATTATTTAATTCTCAATTTTAAAATAAGAATACATTGTTCAGGAATTTACAGGTAAGTGAAGATTGGAACCAACTAAAGTTACATTTTCATATAGAGACCATGCTTACAAATGGATTAGGTTCCATGTTTTTGTTTTTTTCCAAACAATTTTGCAGACACAGAATATGACACTATCTCAGATGCATTTATTTAGATAAATGACATAATTTCTTTGTTTCCTAAAATAATTGTCTTTGAAGGAGCTACGGTATGAGTAGTATAAAATCTGTTGAAAAACGAGATTTTATAACTGAACACAATGATTTTTCAGAAACAAATTTTTAACTATACTGTCTTTTCAAGATAATGATACAGAGATCCTTCCTTTCCTAAAACTAGAAAAATATTCTGTTGCTTTCAGTTTTTATTTTCTCAGAGTTTTAATTTTTATGCTCCATGTACGATGTTTCTTAAGTCATGCTCACGTGACTCGTCCCCCTTCAGTGATCAGGTATTTGTGGTTGTAGTACACACACACTAATTATTGTGGCTGTTTCTCTTTGTGTAGCTAATCACCATAGGTGACTGCACCGATTAATTTGCATAGATCATCATTTTCCAGTATTATTTTTCATTAAGTTATATGTTCATATGGTTTTAAAAAAAAAAAAAAAAATTCTAAAAAGGTATACATTGAGAATATCTCACTTCTGTCTTTATCTCCAACAAGTAACAATTTTTATGTGTTTCTCTTTTAGGTGTTCTTTCTGAGCTCTGTCTGTAAAACAAAAGCATAGTGATAATTCCATTTTATATTCCCACTGGAAATATAGGAGAATATGTTACCCCATAGTCTTAATTCACTGTAGTTTTTCATTTGCATTTCTTTTATGAGTAAGATTGAGTATCTTTATATGTTTTAGTTGTTCATATTAATTTTTTCTGTGAACTGTCTAATCATGTCTTTTTTTTTTTTTAATACTGATTATTGGTCTTTTCCTGGATTATTAGTCTCCTCGATTTCCAGGAGCTCTTTATATACTAGAAAAATAAGCACTTTGTGATCTGAGTGGCAAATATTTTTTCCTATTTGAACAATAATTATTAAGCCATATTCTTAAATTACATTTTATACTAAAAATACTGTACCTTAATATTGTATCATTCCTTTTTAACTGCTACTCCTCCATTTTCTCTTCTTATCAATATGTGCCTTATTGGATTATATACTGTAACTACAATATGTGTGTTTAAAAAATTTATTTCTGATTTTTATTTTAAATTTGTGTTTGTGGGAGAAAACTAATTGTGAACCTAACTCAACCGTTTGAAATTGAAAAACAGTTGAAGAATTTGTGAAAGTGAATATATAAGTGTAGAAATCTCAGTATATATTCAAATTAGTCTTTGTTTTTGTTCATTTCAATTTATAATTATAAAATACTTTAAATACACAGAAAATAATAAAACTAATATTCTTATAGTTACCACCCACATTTAACAGACAGGAACATTTTGCCACAATTGTTTTAGATCTCTTCGTTTATATCTAAATATAATTTGAGGATAAAATGTTACAGATACAGTGAAAGTATGCACCTCCTCCCTCTTCCTTCTTAGAGGCTATAGCAATCCTGAAGAAAGTATCCATCATTCCTTAATAAATGATATATACTACTATTCTCTGTGTTAAAATTGTACATGAATCAGTATGCATTGATAATTACTAATGGTTAGAATTCGAAAGTTGGGAAATAAGAAGGATCAGTAGTTGGAAAATATGGCCTTGGTGATAGAAATGCTGCCAGAGATTGCATAATAAAATTTTGCAAGACCAATGACTTCTTCATTGCAAATACCTTCTTTCAACAACATAAAAGGCAACTATAGATGTGGACCTCACCAGACGGAATATACAAGAATCAAATCAACTACATCTGTGGAAAGAGATGACGGAGAAGTTCAGTATCATTAATCAGAACAACTCCAAAGGCTGACCGCAGAACAGACCATCAATTGCTCTTACGCAGATTCAAGCTGAAGCTGAAGAAAATTAAAACAAATCCACTAGAGCCAAAATACGACCTTGAGTATATCCCACCTGAATTTGGAGATCATCTCAAGAATAGATTTGACACATTGAACACAAATGACCAAAGATCAGACAAGTTGTGGAAGGACATCATACATGAAGAAAGCAAAAGGTCATTAAAAATACAGGAAAGAAAGAAAAAGCCAAAGTGGATATCAGAAGAGACTCTGAAACTTGCTCTGAACGTGGAGTAGCTAAAGCAAAAGGAAGAAATGATGAATTAAAAGAACTGAACAGAGGATTTCAAAGGGCGCCTCAAGAAGACAAAGTAAAGTATAATAATGACGTGCAAAGACCTGGAGTTAGAAAATTAAAAGGGAAGAACACACTCAGCATTTCTCAGGCTGAAAGAAATGAAGAAAAAATGCATGCCTCGAGTTGCAATAATGAAGGATTCTACAGGGAAAATATTAAATAGCACAGGAAGCATCAAAAGAAGATAGAAGGAATACACAGAGTCACTGTACCAAAAAGAATTGGTCGACGTTCAGCCATTTCAGGAGGTAGCATATAATCAAGAACCAAAGAAATACAAGCTGCACTGAAGGCACTGGCAAAAAACAAGTCTCCAGGAGTTGAGAGAATACCAGTTGAGATGTTTCAACAAACGGATGCAGTGCTGGAAGTGCTCACTCATCTGTGTCAAGAAATTTGGAAGACCAGCTACCTGGCCAACTGACTGGAAGAGATCCATATTTGTGCCCATTCCAAAGAAAGTTGATCCAACAGAATGTAGAGATTATCCAGCAACATCACACATAAGTAAAATTTTGCTGAAGATCATTCAAAAGTGATTGCAGGAGTACATTAACAGGGAACTGCCAGAAGTTCAAGCTGGATTCAGAAGAGTATGTGTAACGAGTGATATGTTTGCTGATGTCAGATGGATCTTGGCTGCATGCAGAGAATACCAGAAAGATGCTTACCTGTGTTTTATTGACTATGCAAAGGCATTTGACTGTGTGGATCATAACAAATTATGGATAACATTGCAAAGAATGGGAATTCCAGAACACTTAATTTTTCTCATGAGGAACATGTACATAGACCAAAAGGCAGTGATCTGAACAGAACAAGGGGATACTTTTGTGGTTTAAAGACAGGAAAGGTGTGCGTCAGGGTTGTATCCTTTTACCATACTTATTTAATCTGTATGCTGAGTAAATAATCCGAGAAGCTGGGCTTATTATGAAGAAGATGGCATCAGGATTGGAGGAACACTCATTAACAACTTCATATATGCAGATGACACAACTTGGCTTGCTGAAAGCGAAGAGAATTTGAAGCACTTACCGATGAAGATCAAAGACTGCAGCCTTCAGTGTGGATTGCACCTCACACAAAAATCCTCACAACAGGACCAATAAGCAACATTATGATATATGGAGAAAAGATGGAAGTTGTCAAGGATTTCATTTTACTTGGATCCACAAGCAGCGCCCATGGAAGCAGCAGTCAAGAAATCAAACAACATGTTATATTGGGCAAATCTGCTACACAAGACTTCTTTAAAGGGTTAAAAAGCAAAGATGCTACTTTCAGGACTAAAGTGCGCCTCACCCAAGCCATGGTATTTTCGTTCACCTCAAATGCATGTGAAAGCTGAACAATGAATAAGGAAGATGGAAGAATTGATGCCTTTGAATTATGGTGTTGGTGAAGAATATTAAACATACCATGGACTGCCAGAACAAACAAATCTGTCTTGGAAGAAGTATAGCCAGAATGCTCCTTAGAAGCGAGGATGGCGAGACTTTGTCTCACATACTTTGGATGTGTTATCAGGAAGGGCATCATGCTTGGTAAAGTAGAGGCTCGGCGAAAAAGAGGAAAGACCCTCAATGAGATGGATTGACATAGTGGCTGTGGCAGTGGGCTTAAGTATAACAACAATTGTGACAATGCTGCAGGACTGGGCAGTGTTTCATTCTGTTGTATGTAGGATCGCTATGAGTTGGAACAGACTAGATGGCACCTAAAAATAACAACACTGTTTTGAGTGTTATAATTGTACATAAATGATATCATACATATTTTTTTTGCAATTTGTATTTTTTTATCCACTTTATATTTTTTGAAATTTAGTTGCTTCAATACATGTCACTCTAAAGGAGAATGAAGAGCACCAAAGACAGAAGGAAAATATTAGCCCAAGAGACAAAAGGGCCACATAAACCAGAGACTCCATCAGCCTGAGACCAGAAGAACTAGATGATGCCCGGCTACCACCAGTAGCCACCCTGACAGGAAACACAACAGAGAGTCGTTGACGGAGCAGGAGAAAAGTGGGGTACAGAACTCAAATTCACATAAGAAGACCCTGACAGACTGGAGGAACCCTTGAAGCCATGGCCCCTGGACGCTCTTGTTAACTCAGAACTAAAACCATTCCCGAAGCCCACTCTTCAGACAAATAGACTGGACTATAAAACATAAAATAATACTCATGAAGAGTGTGCGTCTTAGTTCAGACAGATACACAAGACCAAATGGGTGGTTCCTGTCTGGAGGCAGGATGAGAAGGCAGGAAGGGACAGGAGCTGGTTGAATGGACACGAGAAACCCAGGATGGAGAGAGGGAGTGTGCTGTCACATTATAGGGATTGCAACGAGTGTCACATAACAATATGTGTATAAATTATTGTATGAGAAATTAACTTGAGCTGTAAACTTCCACCTAAAACACAATAATAATAATATATACATATATATGTTGCTCTAGAATGGTGGTTTCTATTGATGGCTCTAGAGTAGTATATGAGTATACTGCAGTTTTTAAATTCATTTTCCTATTTATGGACTTTATATTATCAGCAACATTGCTATGAATATCCTTGTACATGTTTACTTGTGCACATGTGTGAAAGTTTATGTAATGCACACACTTTGAGTGGAAATCCTAGGCCCATAGATTATGCATGCTGAACTGTTCTCCACAGTTACCACTTTATACCAGTTTACACTTTTAATGGCAGTATCTAAGATTTCCCATTTTCCCTTATCCATTGGGTTATCACGGAGCCCTGGTGGTGCAGTGGTTACGCACTCAGCTGCTAACCAAAAGGTCGGTGGTTTGAACCCACCAGCGGCTCCATGGAAGAAAGATGTGACAGTCTGCCTCCATAAAGATTATAGCCTTGGAAACCCTATGGGCTGGTTCTACTCTGTCCTGTATTGTCACTATGAGTAGGAATCAACTGGATGGCAACGGGCTTGGGTTCTGAGAGTTATCAGATTTTTAATTTTGACATTTTTTCCAATTTGCTGGCTATGAAATAGCATTTTGTTTTTAATTTTCATTATTTCCTTGACTATTGGAAATTTATGCATCTTTTCATGTAGTTAGAATTCAATTGGACTGTCTCTCTTTTGAGTAGCTTTTTTATTTTTTAATACATTTTTCAATTTTTATGTAATTAGTTGCAGTTCATTTTGCATTTTGGATACTAATCCTCTTTGGTCATATGGATTGCAGTGATCTTCTAGTTAGTTCTTTGTCTTTTAATTTTCTTCATGGGGTATTTATCATATAAAATTTTTAATGTTAATGTATTCGAATGATTAATCTTTCTTTTGATTGCTGCTTTTTGTAGCTTAATAAATTCTTCCTTGTATAGATGCTGCTGAGGTCTCTGATACTTTTTTCATAGAAGTTTTCAAGCTTTATGGTTTACATTGTATTTTTAACCCATTTGGAATTATGTTTTACACATGATATGAGGTAGAAGTTTAATATTTCCATAATGTCATAGCTCTGTCTTGTTGACCATGCCGTTTTGGTTCAGTGGTACAATGATAGCCCAATTCAAACTTAGGAATTCGTAATTGTTTCTGAAAGAAAATTGTTTTTATTTTTAACCCCAAATTTTAACTTCTCTGTAGATTTTACTATCTAAACCTCATATTTTTATTTTAGATTTTGTTGGTGCCACTCTTTTCTGTCCTAACTGTAGATACATAAGACCTAGTGGAATCTTCTCAACAGTAACGAGTTACTGTACACGGTCTTTTCCATTAATCTCATGAATTGTGAGAAATTTTAGCCAAGAAAGAAAACTGTTGAGCCTGTCTAGTGGGATCAGCCATAGCAATGTGTCTATGGTTTGTGCAACATCACCAATTTGAATGTGAAGACATAGTCTTCCAACCTAGTGATTAACTTAGGGGCCGCCCTCTGGGTAGGTATTTACAAGGTACATGGTTTGCTGCCCTGCTGTTTTTAGGTGGATAATCTACCTCTACTTTGACTTCTTGTGTCACCATAAAGCTGCAGAGATACTTGTTAGGTTTGTCAGGGCAGAACACCAGAAGCACATTTTTTATTGCCTTCCAGTTTTCATAGCAGTGCCTGTAACTTTGCCCTACTTAATACTGGTTTTATAAGTGAATATATTTTTGGGCTGAGTTTTAGTTCTTCATTGGCAGCTGGATGCTTTTGCTTCTATTGCTAAAGGAATAAAATAATTTAGTTATACCTATGATTCAGTTAAATTAATGATAAAATTATTGGTGTTCCTGGTTGAACTTTTTTTTTAACGTGTAACAAATTCTTTCAAGAATAATGTACATGTCTTGTATTAGCTTCTTTTATAGCCCCCTTAGCTTAAGGGCTAGTTAGTAAATATGCAATAACTAACAGACTTTTACTGGCATTGTCTATACTAGTTTGTTCTATTTCCTCTTTAGAATGTTTTGTTAAAGAAATTCTGAATTAATTTTGTTTGTCTACATGTTGGTCAGAGTCATGCATCCTTCAACAACAACAGTGTAACAACAACAACAAAAATTTATTCCATCTTATACATTAAATATTTGCTTATAGTTTTTATTAACTGTGCCAAAGAGCCCAAAGATACCTTAGCAAAAAAGTTTATCAACACTGGAGAAACTGAATGTGTATGTATGTGATCTGTTGAGAGCAGGCTGGTGTTTTCCAGTGTTTGAACTTATGTTTATTTTGGAGTTTAAGCTAAGTCCCAACTCTGATTGCTAGAAATAAAGCCATGTAATATCCTTATGTCAATAATTTAGATTTATAATGACATATATTGTCACTTTTGTGATTCTGTTCTTTTTTCTTTTTTTTTTTTAATAGACAGGTGCTCTAGTTCACAGCTATAGGGGAACAGGTGGAATTTTTGAAGTTTGCTGGAATGCAGCAGGAGACAAAGTTGGAGCCAGTGCATCAGATGGTTCAGTAAGTACAGTAACCTGTTTCGAAAGGGGATATGGGTACAGATACAGAAACAGGTACACACAGACACACACACAGACACACACACACACACACACACAACAAATTGGTGTATTGTGACTGTGACTGGAAAAGAATACAGAAGTTGTTTTTTGTTTTTGTTTTTTTAAATAAATTTAAAGATATGATAATGATCTTTATTTTTCCCTGAAGGCGGCATAGTTTTCACATTCATTGATTCAACAAATGTAAACAAGATTTAGACTTTTTTGCAGAAGAGAGCTTTCATAATCAAGAAATAGTTATTTTTTTTTGGTAAACTTTTATTAGTGAAATTAACACTCTGAGAGAATAAATAGTGATTGGAATTTTAAATGTTCGTTTCACCTTCTCTTCAGAAGTGTGTTGGTGGTTCCAGAGGAAGGGGCATAGAGAGGCAGGTGATTCCTGCATTGAGGAACGTGTGTTACTGAGAGATTGTACGATGAACTTGGCCAGCTCTTTACAGAAATACTAGTTAAGGCTTCCAAAGCAAAGGGAGGTTAGAAGGGGTATAGTCACTAGCTGTTTTACTGAAACTACAGCTTTATATAATCTGTACTATTTTTCATTGGGGCTCAGGAGACAGGGAATGGGTCTACTTTGAGTCTACTTTGAGCATTTTTTTCTACTTTTTAGTTAACAGAGAGTAGTGCCTAAAAAGCTTAACTATGCCACCCCTACCACCCCCCCCACCCCCACGCACATACCCCTTTATCGTATTAACTCTTTTCCTCCATCTGCTTAGATGTTCTCTCTGATTTCTTTTGGTTAAATGCCCATTTCAAGATTACTATTGCTTTACTAGTTTTGTGAACTGAGAAATGTGTAACAGATTGCAAACTGTACTGTAGAACAGTTCAACTAAAATGATATACAATGTACAAGAAAATTCTGAACACACTGGTTGATTATTTTCATTTCTTACAGGTTTGTGTATTAGACCTTCGGAAATAGCGCTACTAGTTGGAAGCCATGGACCGACTATGAATGTGTACATAGCCAAAATGACTGTCCTTGACCCATGTACTGCTATAGTCCCACTTGAACCATGGCCAGTCCACTACAGCCAAATCTAAAAGAAATATATACATACAGTGTATATAAACAAAATTGCACCCTGAAGATGACAGAGTTTTGTCACAGCTTGTGAATTCTGTTCACCAAGTGCTGGAATCTAATCTGCTGTGCCCCCAAAATAGCATTTAGAAGTTTTGGAGATGAAAAACAGAAGAAAAAAGAAATGTACCTTATAAAAGCAGATCACACATATACCAGTTTTTGGATACTAATGACGGCCTTGTTTCTCTCTTTTGAATCAGCAGACACCATGGATTATATTCTTTTTTTCCCTTCAGTAAGCAGTTTGTATGTACAGAGAAAATGGACTTACAAAAACTTACAGCAGTAGTTTGTTCTTGCTTTTAAACTTTGTTTTTGGTTTAGTTAATGGATGCATGAAGTAAGGGAGTAAATCAGTTTCTTGTTTATATTTTTTTTCACCTTTTAAACAAAAAAAATTCTTAAAAATATTTTAATGCATTCTTTTGAAGAGGTAGATGTTTGGTACATTTTATGGCTCCCAGAGCATATATTCAATTGGTGCATGTTGTGGGAAGGGGGAGTTGGAAATTAAATAAAAATATATGGCTTTGGTCATGTCAATCTCTAAGACACATCAGTAAAAGGGTATTATGCTCTGGTTTTTTTTTGGTGATGTGGCTGAAATGCAATAGTTTCTTTTTTGGGACATATTTCTGCCAATTCAAGACTAGAAGGGCACAAAATGTTTTTTTTTTTTTTTTTTTTTTAAATACCATATTGAAGATGCATAAAAAAAAATTCTTCTGATGTTTTGTAGCCATAACTAAATTATGGTTAAAATGTGCACTATTGTGAAAAGGAGCAAAGTAGATTTGGGTTTTTTGTTTTGTTTGTTGTTTGTTTTTTTAAGAGATTAAAATGTTTCTGGATAAGGAATAGCTTCTCAAAGTGTCCATCATTATGTGTAGAAGCTTAATATATAATGTAATCAAACTCCAGTATTACAAATCTCTCATGTATTTTTCTTTCTACAAAGCAAGATAACGGCATATAACACTGCCATTACATGGCAAAATGTTCGCTACCTTAGTTCAAAAAACAATCTTTAAAACAAAAGACTTGCTTCAAGGTGTTTTGAAATAGCAATGATTCAGAATTTAAAAAAAGAAAAGTCTAATTGCACTAACCTCCCTGCTGCTCTGATTCTGCATTTGTGGTACTTGGGACTACATGTTTTCAAATCGATAGGTTTAAGCTGCTATTTTTTTTTTCTTTTTCATTCATCACTACTATATCATGTCTTTTAATCTGTTTATAATATCAAGTATTTTCCTAAGAATAGTTATCAAATCTCCTCTTGTGCTCATGCGGCTAAAAGCTAAAATACAAATGACAGCATGAAGCCATGTTTAGATGTGTGATTCACAGGGTTCCATGATTAACATAAGAATCCAGGAGTGTTCCATTTTGAAGAGAATAGTTGTCAAGTTTATATCTCAAAGATTTTAATTAAGGAATCGCTTATTATTGAGCTTAGCAAATTTATAACACTATTTCTGTCACTAATTATTTTGAGGGCTTTACTATTAAAATTTTAACCTGTGTTTTAAGTTTAAATAGAAACTGATTTAACCCAAGTAATGCAGCTTTGATTTCCAGCATTTGTTGTTTTTGCTATTTTTACAAAACAGCGTTGGTTGAAGCAAGTCTTCGTTTTACTAAGGTAGGGTAGCATTTGCTATTGGTAAAGAGAGTAAATAGACAATTTCATAATACATTGTTAAACGTACCCCGATTATTGTTAGTGGGGACTATGATACTGTAATAATATTTTTTAAAATTTACATCCAGAGAGACAGTCATTCATGATGGTTTTGTGCCAGCTGTTTTTAGGGTTTTGGAACACATTATAGATATTTAGAACTATTACCCTGTGACTTATGTAGGAAACCTAATATGCTGAGTATCTGGCACTTGAAATCCTGCTTTTATTGCTGGAGGTCCACATCTGTGGTTGACCTCTGTTGTTGTTTAAAAAAATAAATAAAAATAAAAAAATCTGTGCAATAATTTTTAAATGTGCTCCCAGGAATAGACACAAATGTTTTGAGTATGTTTAAGCTGCATTTTCCTTTAGCGATGCATTTGTCAATTGCACTGAATTTAAATCTGAAAGAGGTGATTATTGATAGTACTTTTGTATTTTGATATGGACAATTTATTCATTTGCATAACAGTTAGTGATTTTTTTTTTTCCCAGCCAATTAAAAGATAGTCAAGAAATTCTGCAACATAGCTGCCAAAATAGACAGCTACATTTTTATGGTATTGTCATCTTTTCTGGTTTTGTTTCTCTTTTTAATCTGTAGCTATTTTACTTAAGCATAATAGCCACAATAGGACATATAAAAGATTATAAATACAGAGCTTTAATATCCTGAAGTCTTGGGTCTTCTAAGTATAAACTTATTTGAAAGGTATCCATTATGTAGGCTTGGGTTCTTTATGAGCATACGATTATTTATTTATTTTTGCTGCTGTTCTCAACATCCTCATTGCCTGCTGATGTGCCACGATGCTGCTCCAATAGACAAAAATAAGACTGTCTCTAATTCGAGCAGTAACATATGATTGCAAGAGATCGAGTTTCACAGCCTGTGAAGTTCTATATTTGAGGTTCTTGTTTAATTTCCCTTCTTTTTTTTTTTTTTTCCTGAGAACTTATTCCTGAAGATCACCTGAATCCAGTAGTTTTTTTTTTTTTTTTACCCCTCCATGGTATTGATTATATATCATTGTTGTATAAGCTACTGTAAGAAAGGAATCTTATTATGATATCAGTTATTATGATAATTTTAAGTAAGAAAGGAAAACTTGAATGAATACTAATTGATTAAAAGACTAAAGAAAGAGCAGCTGTCACTCTTAAACATCATAAAGGAACATCTTTGTTCTTATCCGTGGCGGTAATCCCATCAATTCTTACAATTTGTTCCAATTCCCATTTCCTGTTGTTGATCAGGTACCATCACTGACTTATAAATGACTTTTAAAAGTGGGAACTTTTCATTTCCTAATGGGTCTTAGAGTGTATCTAATTGTGTTTAATTATTCTCTAGGTAAGTATGTCTTAGGATTAAACACCTTACACAGATACTGAAAGTGCCTCCTTTTGTGGTGTAAAAAACAAATTATGGTGCAAAAAGTAATCACTAGATGGAATTACATGAAGGTTTTTTGCTTTTTGACATGTAAAAATGTCAAGAGAAAGGCCAAAGATTTGTACTTTTTCACTTATAAAGCACTCCTTTTTTTCTTAAACTTCTTTCTGTCAAATTAGATTTAATGAGAGAGTACTATTTTTAAGGAGCTGTTTATGTAGAATGATTTTAAGAGTAATGTAAATTACTGACTAGAGGCCTGAAGAGGAGTATGCTTTTTTTTTTTTTGCTCTTAAAAAGGAATTGCAAATGACCATCCTTCTGTAAACAAAAATGGCAAGTTTTTACTAGAAAAGCAGAAAAATAAATTTCAAATGCAATGCCATTTACTCATTTTACAACAGTTTTCATTTTCTTAAGCACACAGTACATTTCTACAGAACTTGTGTTTCTTCTTGCATGCTAAGGATGGTACTTGCATATGGTGAATTAATGTTGACAGTTTCTGCAGAAATCCTATTTTCAGTGGACCAACATTGTGGCATGGCAGCAAATGCCAACATTTTGGGGAACAGCAGCAAATCTACAAGAGACCCTAGTTTTTTGGTGGTTTCCCCCCCTTTCCTGAATCAGCAGGGATGGAAGGAGAGTAGGGAAGTTATGAATTACTCCTTCCAGTAGTGGCTCTGAAGTTTCACATTCAGTATCAAATGTTTTTAACATGATTCTAGTTAAATGTAGACAAGAGAAGAAGAAGAGGAAGTGTTCACTTTTTTAATACACTGATTTAGAAATTTGATGTCTTATACTAGTAGTTCTGAGGTATTAATAGCATTCTTTATTTCTGCCTTTATGTTGACAGTGTTGAAGCAGGGTGATTAGGGCGTTTTTTTTTGTTTGTTTGTTTTTTTCCTAGTAAGCTGTTTCATGATGTTTTCTTTGGAATTTCTGGATAAGTTCAGGAAAACATTCTGCATGTTGTATCTAGTCTGATGTACTTATCCATCTCATTAAAAGCAAAACATACTACAGAACTACATTTTGTAGGTCTGTAATCCCTGAATACAGAAGTAATTTTCTTCTTTCCTGACTTTGACATTGTAGCTCTAATGTTTTCATTTTGATTTTTACAAATCCTTTGGGTCTAATTCTGTGAGCCTACCTATAGCACTGGATTAAAATGTCTGCATCATTTCTTTAGTTATCCAGTTAACTTTAAAACTGTTGTAAAAGTGTAAACCAGCCCATGACAGTTTTTTGTACATGTTAAAGAACTTTTATTGTTCAGTTTTCATGATTATTGTGTAAGGAAGACTGATACAGTTCTATGCTGTCCTGGACCATGTTAATTACACTTAATGATGTTTTGGGTTCAACATCACAAATGATTTGTCCTCAATGACCCTTTGGTCCTTCATAGGCACATTTTCGTTGTTGTTATTGTTGCGGTTTCCCTTCGCATTGTATCGCTTTGACAACTGTAATTTGGATCAGATCTGAAAGAGGTCCAGAATAAAATATATTTTGATATTATGTTGGCTGTGTACATATATAAAACTGTTGATATCTGTGTAGTTTGTATAGACTATATACTGGTCAAGTAAAGAGAGAGGGTTGCTACTTCTTGTTTACAACTTCTTGTTTACATTTTAATTGCTTTTTATTCCTCCAGCGTTCTATGGTAGAATAAACTTTTTTGCTCTGATTTAGCCTTATAACATAAAATTCTCTCCCGTACTGGGGTTAACAGTGATAAAAACTGCCATCACAACCCAAACCACTGTTTTTCATAAACTTATTGTTCTCCAAGATACATACTTTAAGCCCATAGATAGTTATAAATTTTACTATTTTATTACTTCTTGCAGATGATAAGGTTTTTTAAACTAATGGGATTATTTACTATTTTTATTAAATAATAATAGAGCATCTAATCAATTAACGAATAGCAGTTACTTCTTAGTTATTTTAAAAAATCACTATTGTGTTTAATGGACATTATTTCACACAAACTAAGAGAGACCTCAGATCCATTTGTTTGCTTACCATACAGTTGAGCACAAAATAGTACAAACATGTTGAAAATTTTTAGGTCAGGAGGGTCAACTTCCTTAATGGCATTTTTTTGTTTGCATAAACCAATTATAACTTAATCATTTTCTCTCAGCTAGTTGCTTGTGTTCCTAACAAAGCTTATGTAATCTAATGAGAAAAAATACTAGGCATCTTTCATCTTTATAATTAATCCCAACTCCTCTGTTAATTAGAGATTTTTTCCCAGAATTATTGAGCATATTTTTGGTTTTATTTTTTAAAAACTTGTATTCTTTAGGTCTTTTCCCTTCCATTTTCTTTACAAAAACTAATAGAGGCATAGCCTTGTAATGTATTACTGATGATAAGCTGCTGCAATTGCTAGAACTTTCTAACCTTTCATTTTCAAAGGGTTAACTTTTATTGCATGGCATAGTTAATTTTCTACTTCTTCAAAAGGTATTTAAAGATTAATAAGAATTAGAATTCATGTAAGCTTGTGGTAAAACAAATTAATTTGAGCAAGCATAGAAAGAGTTTCCCATTTCTTAGCTGTTATACTTTACAATAGATGAGATCCTTACCTATTATAATACATAGCAGATCAGATTAAAGTTTACTGTTTTCCCAATATAGTCATTTGCAAGATACAGCGTAGGAAAAGACACTCTGAACAATAGTTTCATGGTGCTTTTCTCTGCTTTGCTGAAGCTGTCAGGAATGAAATGTTAACCCTATGCTTCCTTTTCTGCATGATTCTTTTCAAATGTCATATCACAATGCTTATTTGTCCTAACTTGTAATATTTTTGTATTGAATTTTTTAGGAGTTTCTTGTAATTTCTTTATCATTTAAAATATATTAAACACAAAGTGTTTAGTAAAGTACAGAAGACAATTATTAATGTTTCTTGGTTGTTGAGTTTGTGTGATCAATTGGGTAGGAAGTTCACGCTTTAAGAAGTAGGACCAGTGGAATGGAAGCTACCCAAAACACAGCTCTATTTAAAATAAATAAATTTTCTAACAAATTCAGTGTCGAAATGGGCTTGCTTAGGAAATACTGTGCTACCAAAAATATCAAAAGCATAGGTTGGGTGGCCTCCAAGCAGGACACCTGTGGAGGAACTCAAGCATTGAATGGGTACGTTAAGTTGTCCCTTCAGGCCTTGTGTTAAAACTTCAGTCACATTGACCTTGGTCTGAGGTCAGACCTTTGAAAATAGACCAGCTTCCAGAAAAACTGCACATTCAAACGAAGGGATTTTGAAAATCTGCACATTGCCTTCAAAATAGCAGTTGTAAGTTCTCTGTAATAGAGCCTTTTCTTTTTCCACATAAGCTTCTCTCAGCTTAATTTATAGGCAATTGCAGGGGAATTATCTGATTTTTCAGCCTGAGTCCTGTGGAGCAGTACACCCCATAGAGGCCAAGAAATAGGTAACAGTAACAGAAATGGAGACGTGCACAATTGGCATGAATATCATAGCGATGAATTACAGTCATCAAATAAAGATTAATGTGACAGAATGTAGGTATACAGTATAGTTTTAAAATATTTCCAGCTAAAGTGGTTGAAATGTTTGAGCAAGTGGGATAAACTTAAGTTTGAAGTTGGACACTTACGACTGAATTAGAGGTAAGTTTACTTTTTAAACACAGTATTATTCAACCTGGAGTGTGCAATAGAACCATTTTCTTTTTTTCAAATAAAATGCCTGACCCTGCCCTTGGTCTACTGCCTAATATGACAGCACGTAACTATGTGTGTAATTTTTTGTATATGCATTTTGGTTTTTGTGCCATAGGTGATTGGGAGTGGGTGGGGAGTGGAGTGTCATTTGCATATTGTATATTATAAAACTCATGCTTGTAAAGAAGTTCACAATAACAAGGCTATAAATAATAGATTGCTATTTCCAAACTCCCAATCCTTTCCTTAGTAACCACTGTTAACAATTGGTATATGTCCTTCCAAACATTTTCAATGCATAGTTCTAAAAAGCAGAGAGAGAAATGAGATTGTAATATTCACTGGTTTCAGAAACACCTTTTCACCAAAATCCTCGGGGCCTTTTTCCCATCAGTATAGGTGTATGTCCCTAAATTTGTGAAGATACAGAGTATACCATACAGATTAAGAGCATGGATTCTGCCTGACTGCTTGTGTTGAATCCCGACTCCACCTCACACTAAGGAAGTGGTTAACTAGGCAGTTACTGTTCTGGTTTCTTCATCTGTAAACTGGGGATAGCAAGAGTACCTAACTTTAAGGAGTGGTTATGAGGATTAGAATTTTAATAAATCTCAATCCTTTAGAGAATAGTGCCTGATTGCACAAAGCACTATATGTTACCATTTTTATTTTTTAAAGGCCACATTGTAGTATATTCCATAATTTAGTCACCTACATTTTTCACTATTTCCTGTTTCACAAAAAGTGGTGTAATAAAGAAACATCTGTGTATCTATAGGACAAATGTAACAGTTGATTCTGATGCACACCCCTATTTGTAGCCACTTTCAAAGAGCCTGTAGAACTTGCCTCCCAGCCATTTCCCAGCCTTAACCAAATCTGTCATGTTAGTAATCACTTATTAATTTATAGAAGGGAGAATCAACCAGTTGTCAAGTCCATCCAGACTCATGGCAACCCCATGTGTATCAGAGGGAACTATGTGCCACAGGGTATTCAATGCTGATTTTTTGGAATTGCCAGGCTTTTCTTCCAAGGTGCCTTTGGGTGGACTCAAACCACCAATTTTTTGGTTAGCAGCCCAGTGCTTAACTGTTCGCACTACCTGGGGATTCCTGACTTGTATATTTACTCAGTGTGCATGCAGGAACGAGAGAGAGTAATTCAGACCAATAAGTGGGAGTCAAACAGGAATTGGAAAACAACTAATTTTTCAAACCTACACTACTAGTCATTAGATGCTAAAGATATGGCTAAGGTTTTGTGAAACATGGATGAATATCTTTCTACCACAGAGCACACTATACAGGTTAAATTTAATTATAAACGTCATGGAACTACAAGAATACATAATGCCACATGCTAATATTGTTGGAAGCCGAATTTCTAGCCCACAGATTAGAACAGCAGATTTAAATTACTAGGACTTTTTAATAAATGTCACTTTTACCCGTTTCTACCTTCCTGAGTCCTGGGTCTTCTTGTGTTTGTTTCCTCAGCAAGTATTTATTTGTTGAGTATTATTGTGTCCCAGGTTGTGTGTTTGACCTGGAAATAAAATAGTGAGCAAGGAAGACATAGGCTCTGCTCTTGTGAAGTATAATTCAAGAAGTAATTCACAAAGTGCTATAACAGGGAAAATACACTTAGAAGTAATTGTTTTTCTAAGTACAAATCTGCCAAATATTGACACTTCCAAATGGTTTAACCTACTTTGATGAGGGGTACCTGAGAGCTTGCAATGTTGACTCCTTACAGCAGGAGAGCTCAGCAGGGTCTGTAGGTGACAGGGCTCCCGGTACTTCCCTCTCTGTGATCCACATTACACTTGTAGTTGTTTTATGTCTGCCTCCTAGTGGTTACTTTTACAATTTTATATAATATATATTTCCACCTCCATTTACTACTTTAAACAATGCCCACTGATTCCTCACTATGAAAGACAAAGAAATTAAGCACTTTATCACTCCTCAGGAGTTTTGCTCGGGTTTCTCTTTGTTACAGATGAAGGGCATGTTTTTGCTGTTACTGCTATTACAACAGCAACTCAGAAATGTTGGAATCTGCCATTCACTGTGTACCCATCTCCTCAGTCCCACACCCCTACCACGTTTTCAAAAGCAATTGTACGTGCAAGACACGGATCAAAAGACATGGATCAAAGTACCCCTTCGTTAATAGCTGCAAAATCTATTCCTACAACCCAGTTCAGCTCTATAGAGAAACTGGTTTGGAGTTTGTGATTTAGGGCTTTATTACTTAAAGGTCTAAATCAACAATAACCTGGAAACTTGTCAAATCATCTGGGAGCCATGAGGTCTGCCATGCCAGAACATAATGAATCAAACAGATGAAACCAAACCTGATGCCATCGACTTGATTCTGACCCATGGTGACCCTGTAGGACAGAGCAGAACTGCCCATGGTGTTTCCAAGGCTGTAATCTTTACAGAAGCAGACTGCCATTCTTTCTTCTGAAGAGCGGCTGGTGGATTGGAACTGCCGACCTTTCAGTTAACAGCCGAGCACATAACCACTGTCACTAGGGCTCCTTAATGAATCAGAAGCAGCAGTTTAATAAGACATTCCAGGGAAATGCACACAAAAGTTTAGCAAGAACTAGTTTAGAGTTCAAGTCAAAATAGGGGATTTTATACTTCCTCCCTACTCCTATCCTAAAGCTTGAGGCTAGCAACAAATACTGAAACCATGATACACAGTTGCTGGCCAGGATAGTGGTAGAGGAGAGGAGGAAAACGAGAGCTGGAGACCAAGGGGGAGTGGAAAAATTCATTAGAGAGTTT